CCCCCGCTCGTTTCCTCCCTTCTTGTTCGACCGCCCTCCCTGCAACTGCTCCCCCTTCCCTTTCTTTTGCCCTCCCTCCCCCCGCGCCGTCCCCTCCATTTTGGGGACGTGAGAGCCCCTGAGAGACGTGAGATCACGTCTTATTTTTTGCCGTTTGGGTCTCTTGAGTCGGGGCTGCTGCAGTGCTTAAGAAGAGGAGAAGGCGCGCGGGGTTTCCTCCAGCTCCTCCTGTAGCACCTGCTGCGGTCTCGGGGACCTCGGGGGCTTTTGCTCCCGGCAGGAATGGGAATATTTGGGAAGCCGTTTGCCCGGGAGGTGCCGGCGGGACATGCATGGGAGCCGTTCAGGATGCCTTGGGCTTCCGCTGCTCTCGCAGCCGGGACTATCGGAGGAGGGCTGGGAAAATCCCGGGGTTTGCAGAAGAGGGATGCGTTTCTGTAAATAATGTTTTTTCCCAAGCTGAAGGAGACGGTTTGATAGGAAAGACACAGGTTTCAGAGGAGGAGGGGCTCACTCAGGGGCAGTGACGGGGAAAGGTAGAGTTTCCTCGCGAGGATTAAATAAGCTGTTTTACTTACAACGGGTGTCGTACCTCAGGCGGCTCCCTGCGCAGAGACACCCGCTCGCTGAGCGCCTCGTTAAAGCCGTGGGTTTCCAGGCCGAAGTGCCGCTCACCGGCCCCTCTCCCGCCCTGCAACGCCAGGGCCACGCGCTGGGACGCGTCCGGCTGCGCCTCGGGCCGCCTGCCCTGCTGCTTCACCACGCGATAGCCCTTCCTGGCCTTGCTGTGGTTCCTCTTGGCAGCGGGCGACACGACGGCCGCGATGAGCTCGTCCTCCCGCAGGGAGATGAACGGCGACAGCCCCTCCAAGGGGTAGTACTGCTGGCTCTCCTCCGGCGGCTCCGGCATCTCCTGGGGCCCCGCAAAGCCGCCCGGGCGCCCTTCCCCGCGGCCGAGCTCCACGGGCTGGAAAGCGCCTTCCTTGCTCAGGGTGCTGGCTGGGGGGTGCAGCGTTGTAACCATCAGCAGCAAAAAGCCCAGCATCAGCAACAGCGAGAGAAACTGCAGCTTACGTGATCCATATCTGCATTTCTTCCTCAGGAACATACTGTTGGTGACAAAATGATACAGATGGTCATGTTAAATATCACTTGGATCCTTCTCAGTTTCCAGTCCTCGGGTTGCGGCAAAGCACTGTTTTTCACTATCTGCCAAGAGGATTTTTTTTTGTTCCCCCTCACATTTCACTGATGTCGTTTCAGGCTTGCTTCTCTATTTGCAGACAAAGTAGAAAATGCCTATAAATATTGCACTTACTGTAATAAAAGAGAGCATGGATCCGGTGAGATAAAGTAGATCCTTTATTAGGCAGAATCCCAGCTTAGCTAGAGAAGAACATGTTTGCTGTTGAAAAAAATGTAGCTCGAGTTCTGATTTTTTTTTCCTCTTATAATTCTAAGCAAAAAGAAATTCCCTTTCTTATAGTTTCCTTCCAGAGTGTTTCCTGCTTCTGCAAAGTTTCCAGCTGCTGCCTGGATTCGAGCGCCTTATCTGCGAGAGCAGATCTGACAGCTTCCCCCTGCTCTGAGGCTTCAAGTTAACGGTGATCAACAGATGAGAGCTAGTCAGTCCCTGACTTTGTTTCACACATAACTACAGCACTCAGTCAGGACTCACTTTGCCAGACATAATACAGAGCAATGTGTGCGTCTTTCTCTTGGTCCTAATGCCCTCACTGCTCTTGTCCTATCAAATCACAACTTTGCAAAAACTGTTCGAGGTGAAATATAAGAAGCAAAATGTTGCATTGCAAAACAAATCAAGACATGCCATGAATCACTCGACTTCTGAACAGCCTTATGAAGCTAAGAATGTTCACGGAAAGAAAGAAGACTTTCCTAAACTGAATAAAAGGTGGAGAGCATGTGATTTATTTAATGTTAGATTTATTCATATGGCAACGTGCTCGCTGGAGTATAGGAGTATATTTCATTTGCAATAAATATTTATGGCTGTAGGAATTTTAGCACTGACATAAGGATGCCAAATTGTCACCTGGCAGACTGAAGTTGTCTCCTCATCCATAAAGCTGCTATTGCACAGGGAGCAGCACTTCGAGTTTGCAATAGTCCGGGAATAGCCTGCAGAAAGCCTGGGCTGGAAGAGCCGCTGCTCACGCGGAGCGAGAGCAGCTCCTGCTGTGACTGAACGGGGAGTTCAGCCTCGCTGCTAATATTGCTGGCAAGGGTGCGAAATGGGCACAAATGTGGCCTTTTTTTTTTTTTCCTGTGAGATGGGTCACTATCCAATGGGAAAAGGATGGACTGAGATAGTCCACATGCTGCAGCATCACATGCCTCTTGCTCTGACAGAAAGCAAATAGGGAAGTAACTCAGGTGTTTGCAGCTCTTCTGTTTGGAGGAGGTAGATGGGGTGCATTTCTTTATTTTATTTTATTTTATTTTATTTTATTTTATTTTATTTTCAGGTCTTGCAATATTCTGTGGTTACCTAAAGCTCCAGCTCCAGAAGTCATGTCACCGGAGAACTTCTAAGTTCATACTTTGTTATTAATTACATTTCTAGACATCATAGGTAAAGAAAAACCTGAAAACATGAATAAAATATCTGCTGAAAGAACTAGGAAGATGGATAAAATTGTTATTTCTTTTTTTCAGTTATCATAATCAAGACAACAGGATGTTTTGGAGGAGCCTGAATCACCACCTTTGACTCTTGGGGTAGGCAGTATTGAGATCCCCAGTGAAGGGGACCTCGACATTCATTCTTTTTTTTCCTTCTTCCCCATTTCCTCCCTACAACACCTGAAATTTCAGGCCACCATTCTTGTTAGATGGCTTTCACAAAAGTAAAAATGAGAGGAAAACAACTTTTGAACTAAAATGAGTGATAAAATGATACAAAATGGGAGACTGGATAGAACACCTTAAAGGCGCGTGGTGTCTGGCACCTGCGTGTGCGCTCCCCGGGCACTTGGACACAGCAAATGTGTCCAGTCTGCTGTATCTTGGCACCTTCCCTATCTCGGCTGTGCTTTAAAAAATACAATACTGTTTTAATCATATCTTAGGTAGCAGGAAGATTTGGCCAATATTTCGATGCTTCACCATTGTGTATCTCTTCCTTTTTTTTTTAGCTTAAATTCGTAGACCGGTAACGCTGCAACCCACCGTCTGTCTTGGGGGTGTTGCTCTTTATCCTGCCTTTTACAGGAAAAAGAAAGTGTGGATGTTTTCAATAGGGAAGCAGCCTATATTAGCATAAAAAAAACTTGGTTCAAAAGCCTTCATTTAAATAACAAAGCATGTCAGCCACAGAAAGATGAAATGAAATGGAAGTAGAGAGAGACCTGTCCAGGATGTCTGTAAAGAGCTGGCACCAGTGACTAGCGAAACGTTCAGTTCCATAGAGTCCCATTACCAACCATATGGAAGAAAAGGAGAAGCATAAGAAACAGCACGTGAAGTAAATGGGAAAAAGTATTTCAGTTTTTTCTTTTTATTTTCTGATCTACCCAAGTATTTAATGGCAATTAATATGTTTGCCCTGGCTAACGCAGTGTAATGGCTGTGATCAAGACAACTCTAGGCTGCAGTAGTAACTGGGCAGTAACAACTGTCCTGGTATGGGCCGTGTTGCTGACCAAATCCACCCGGATATCGCATGGTGTGGATGAATAGAGACCCACTGAGCAAATTCAGAGCAATCTTTCCTGCTTTTGAGGCAGAAGTTGATTAAGTGACACAATCCCTGAAACCCGTGCATATGGAACCCGACCTCTGAGTGTATCCCCACCATTTTAGTAGAGAAGAACTGAACACTTACAGAGGATCCTTGGAGATCGCTCCGCTAAATTAAATGTGCAAGTATGAAATACTACACAGTGTAGTTCCAGCAGGCTCTGTTCCCTGTCTGGCATGGACCTTTTTTTGCTGGAGTTTTCTCACAAGAATCCCCAATTCTGTGCTGCAAGCCCTCCTGTTTTTGCAACCTCACTTCTTGAACATGAGCCGCCTGTGTCAGAGAGGAGGTGCCCTCTTTGCCACACATACTGGAAGAGCAGCTCAGTTTCTTACGAGCTTCCCACCTGGGAGCCAAAAAAGCCATTTCCCTGTATTTTCCTTCTGCCCGTGGTCACTAAAAGGCTACAAAGTTGGCTCTTTCCTGCCTCTGGGCAGGAGAGGTTTGAAGAGGTGCCCATGGGAGTGCACCTCAGTGGCATGGGAGAGCAGCAAGGCCAACATGGGCAGCACAGGAGCGGGAGGGAGGCTAGAGAGCACGGGCACCTCTCTAGAAGAGTTGCTGTTTTCTGCAGCCTTTGGGGGAGAAGGAGCATTTCTAGAAACCAGGTTCATCTCTCGTGAAAAAGCAGCCAGAGCCTCTGTACCTTGGGCCAAACTATTTACAGCTGAGAAAGGAAACACACAGGGCTGCAGATCCTTGCAGCCCCTCTAGTCAAGGAGCTAAGGGCCTCTGGTGGGACACAGATGGACCCACTGATGCCTTCCTGCCTAGTGGCTGGGGACACCCTCTCCCTGGTTGTCTTGGGACAGTGCATCCATCCAGGAAAGAGGAAGGAGCACTGCATGCCCCTGCTCTGCCCTCCAGCCTTGACACACCGTCTTCCTCGCCACCACCAGGCCCTTGAATCTGCCCACACCTTGTACCCTGGCTGTCTGCAGGAGATACTGTTGTCCTCTGTGCTGCTCTTAAAGCAGACACGGAGTGGCAGAGCTCAGTCAGTGGGAGAGAAACAGCACGCGGGCTCAGGACCATGCCAAGTAGTTTGGCTGGAGCATCAGGATGCCTTCAGGAACCTTCAAAGAGGTGAGAAATAGTGTGTGGTCTGTCCAGCTGGTCAGCCTGGGCAAACAGTGGATGGCTTGGGTTCCTAACTGTCCTGTTCAGGCAGACCCTCTCCTAGAAGGTGTACAAACCTTCAATAAATACAAAGTCAAGCTAGATCAGCTCCTCATTCCTTGGTGCTTGTTTCTGTCTCTGATGGATAAGGAGGAAGACACTCACTGGCCTTCAGTCTTGCAAATATTGCTCACTAACTGCTCAGAGCTAGGACATAAAATCAAATCTAGGAGATAGTATTCATTAGAAAACTATTAGAAAACTATCCTGCCTTATCCAAGAAGTGATAAACCTTTCAGTCACTGCAGTTGAGCTGTCTGTGCTTATCCTGTCCTCATCCCCACCTCATTTTTGCTTGCATTTTTGTCCAACTTGTTCACTTCAGGTACTTGCTAAATATTACATGGCATGCTATGTTGCCCGTATGATAAGAAATGACACATACTTTGCATATGCATAACTGGTATGTAACTGCCTGGAAAATGACAAAGAAGACAAACGAGGCTGGATGGAAGAAAGAGCATGTGGAGAGGTTATAACTGCAGGTATCACACGGTGGAGTCCTGCCTCACAGCTTTACAGTGCCTTTACTGACGCAGACGCGAGGAAAGCCAGTGTATAAAACGTGACTGATTACATGGTGCACAAGAACTGTGGTGCTTTTATAATCAAATTACTTACCCCATTCTCCCTGGGATGCAATAATAAATATCCTTTTTTTAGATCGCCACAAGGTATAATTTATTTTCAGGTGTTACGAGTAGTTTGGGGACTTGGCATTGTACAGAGTAGTTAGTTCAATTGTTAGTTCAAAGTCATTTTTTTAACAGCAGGTTAATAATAAATTAGAAAAATGTTTGGTGGAACTTTGTTTTGAATGTTATCAAAGCTTGCTATTGCAATCTGTTGATCACTGGCAGGAATTTTGGCACTAACATTGTGATACATGTTTGCCAACCTGTCAGTGAAGCAAAAGGTCCTAAAAATGCTGCTGGAACTACATTTCTTACAATGTTTCTCCTCATAACTCAGGTGAGCAGTGTAAGATGGAGCACGGATGGAGCTCTGCACCACTTTGCACAAGCAGCTCCCTCTGCTTGAAGATCAGCAGCACTCGATGGGAGAGCGACCGTCTCACAGAAGTGACACACGCCCGAGCTAACTCAGAAACGGTGGCTCTCAGGGTCTAAGGGGCTTTAGGATGTACATCCTGCCTGAAACCCGGCCTCCAGCAGAGGATCATGGAGCTACCAGCTCTCCGTGACAGTCATCACTGGAGGAGTGAGACCTTGGATCACGATTACCCCACCTAGAAATGAGGTATCTTGTGCACTGTGGCAGGACACGTGCCATGTAACCCTCCTGCCTCTCGATCACTGCTCTCATACCTGCTCTTCAAGCTTAAGAGAAGCCCATGTGTTTTCAACCCGCAACTTGAGGTAACCTGAATCCAGCCCTAAACTGGTTGGGGGTGTCAAATCCTCCACTAGCAGAAAATCATTTCATGCAGACCATAGAACCTAACCTGCCAGCAGAAACAGTGGGACAAGTTTGCTTATCTGGCTTTACATTTCTACAGCTGCACAGGTATAAGCTGCTTTGCTCTTTGGGAGTGTCAGGCCCAACACCCTTCGCTTAAAAAATAAATGAGGAAAGGGAAATTCCGCCACCATGGAACACTGACAAAAGTAGTAAAAGCTCTCATGATGATACACTTCTTAAGGGCAGGGTGAAGAGCAAACAATTTAGATGCTTTGGGGGTGGGTTAAAAGCCAAAGAAAACCCCAGTTAAGTCACTGCAGGTGTGTGGCTTAATGAGCTGGAACTGGGCAGCTGGTGAGCATGAACAGTGAGCACAGAGGGGAGCATAAATGGAGAGCACA